AAGAAAGAAAGAAAGAAAGAAAGAATGTAATATAAAAGAAAATAAATTACGAAGAAACGGTAAAGTAACAAAAAAATGAAGTATTCAATTAACAAAATGTATGGAGATGAAAATTAAAAGCGAATATTTGCAAACACAAAAAGAGTAAAAATGAAAAAAAAAATAAAAAAAGAAATAAACTATTTACGAATCAAAGAGGTGGTCAAAAAATGACCGGAAATAAGAAAAAAAGATACAGAATTAAATGAGGCAAGAAATCAATAAAAAAAATTTATTAAATTGAGTTAATAAAATAGAAGAAAATTAGAATGAGAATCAAAGAAAAAAAAAGAAAAAAGTACCACAGATAAAAAAGCAATTGAAAAAGAAAGAAAAGACTCAAAAGAAAAAAGAAAGGGAAGAAAAGAAAAATATTTAAAACAAAGAAGAAATAAAGAAAAAATATTGAAGAATGCAAAAATCAACGGAAGAAAAAAGGAAGTAAAGAATGAAAATGGAAGGAAAGATGAAAAAAAATAATATATTGAATAAAATACTGAATCAGAAAGAAATGAAACGAAATCGAGAATAAAGAAATAAAGAAAGAAAGAAAGACGGAGAATGAAAGAAAGAAGGAACAAAAGAAAGAAAGAAAGAAAGAAAGAAAGAAAGAAAGAAAGAAAGAAAACTACTAAGAAGGAATAATAAGGTGGGGAAAGGAAAAAAAAAACGAGGAAGAACCAGTAAAGAATGAAAGTAGAAATGAAGTAAAAAAGAAAGAAAGTAAAGAATGAAGAAAAGAATGGGTACAAAATAGAGTGGGGGGATAAAAATGCTTTGGTGGGGAGGAAAGAATTCAGAAAGAGAAGAAGAAATGAAAGAAAGAAACAATGCAAGAAAGAAACAAGAGGTAAAGGAAGAACGAGAAGGAGAAATGAAGGATAGAAATACACAGACTAATACACACACACACACACACACACATATATATATATATATATATATATATATGTGTGTTTGTGTGTGTGTGTGTAATGGTCTGTGTTTTTTATCCTTCGCACACACACACACACGTATATATATATATATATATATATATAATACCAAATCCGTAGGTGGTAGGGATTATTTAAAGGAGCTTTTTTAATATAAAAATATCAAAAACTTAAATCCATGATGAGAGGTCAATGTTTTATAAAGAGCGATATAAATAATAAAGATATTGTGTATTGTACAACGTAAGCATAATACGATCTTGCAATACTGCTATATCTATGGAAATTCTTTTTGGGAAAGTTGTTCCAAATTATCCATTAAAATCTCAATGTCGTACGTATATTTCACTAAAATTACTTTTTCTCGCTATTAAAGAATAAAAATGAACCGGATGTCAAGCCATTGCGTGTTACTTCATCTAATTTCCGTTCCAAATAAAACTTCCGAATTTTTTTTTGAAAGGTGCTAACTAAACTTACCTCATAATACATTCTAAGGTCGTAATTTATTTATCATACTTTTCTGTTTGATAAGATTTATTATAATTCTATATATTAATAAACAACGGAAAAAATTGTCTTTCATTAAGAATGAAGAGAGTAACAATTATTACCAATATATCAAATACCTTTTTTAAAGAATTGTCATCAACACCTGCCTACTTTGTGTTTTATTATCTATTCTACTGAGTGTATTTGAAATATTGCTGTTTCAAATAAGCGTTTCTTTCAAGCGGACTTCAGAGAACATTCACGTATGCAAAATACGATCCATATTCTGAGGTTTAATTTCCATTTCAAAACCTAAACACTCGTGTATAAACCTGCTTAATGTATCGTACAACCCTTGAACATTTTGTTAAAAATAAAACTTGATTTTTTTTTCATATAACTAGACCCTACCTTCTGAACAATACTACTTGGCCTACCGTGGTCAAATATTGAAGTACTGGGTATCATCCTGGACATATTTTATAGCAAATAAACGGTCTTCACATAAATACGTATCAGACAAAAGGGGGGGGGTCTCCTTGGAAAGGGAATACGTTAGCAATGTAAATCCGTATGAACGAAGATGAACGTAAATTGAAGAAAAGGGAAAAAAAATTGTTAATTCTTCATTTGTATAAAGTACAGGGTGGTCTGAAAATCTTGTCACCCACATCTCTGTTCCAAACGCGATTGGTTTTCTGACGGTCTTTATCAAAACGCGTCGGCGAAGGTAAGTTTTCCTTTTGTCTTCATTCATATTGTCCTTTTATACATATACTCTGTATGAAATTTAGCCACCAAAAATTAAATATGAATGCAGAACAATGACAGAAGAAATTATACAATATGCGAATGAATCAATCAGGGACAGAATTGAAATGCGTTTTCAAAAAAAAAGGCGGACATTTTCAGCAGCACAGACAACAAGTAAATAACTAGTAAATAAAATATTAAAGAGTAATTATACTTTTAATAAACTTTCCTTGTGGTACGCGACTTTTGCCTTACCCAGTATATATATATATATATATATGTTAAGAAATGGACAAGGTCCGACAATTTATTTATTAAAGACATTTTATTATGTTTAACGTTGTTATTTTATAGATACAAGTATTTAAGTAAATGCTCTGTTTATGATAAACAGTATTAAATGTAATTCAGGCCGATAAATGTTATTTAATACTGTTTATCATAAACAGAGCATTTATTAAATACTGTATCTATAAAATAACAACGTTAAACATAATAAAATGTCTTTAATAAATAAATTGTCGGACCTTGTCCATTTCTTCATTGTTTGTTTACATTCGATACGCCAGAGCAGTTATGAATGTACGAGATTCATGGAAGTTTGAAGTTTATAAACAGTAAATTCGACCTAGTCTGCCGTAAGGTTCTTTGTGGCCGAGCGGTCAAGGCACGTCAGCGTATATGACGGTTCCGTATAGGATGCAGGTTCGAATCCTGTCAAAGAATGAATATTTTCTATGAAAATTTCTCGGACATTCAGGCCGGTTAATGTTATTTAATACTGTTTATCATAAACAGAGCATTTGCTTAAATACTTATATCTATAAAATAACAACGTTAAACATAATAAAATGTCTTTAATAATATATATATATATATGTATTAAAAAGAAGAGAGAAACCGCAAACGTTTTTGGTTGTAATGTGTATTATTTTTAGATATATTATGGAAAACTAGCAGAATGGCCCGGCGTTGCTCGTGCTTGATTCAAAAATAGTACGACTAATACAGCAATCACTATCACTTGACTTAAAATATTTTTGTCCTTCCTTGCCTTTAGAGGAGTGCCCTTTGCAGTGCTGATGTTGTTACATGCCTTACTTCTTGCCTATATCACACTGCCAACTTTTTCTACGCTCTATAGTAAACATTAAATCTGTTACGAAAAAAAAAACTAAACAAAATAAACACAAAACGATCAGCTTTAAAAGATTTGCACTCTGTTTGGGGGGGGGGGCGCTCAGAGTTGAAACTTCACATGATGACTCCCAATGGCCTCTTCATAAATCCGCTCGGTTGTCGCTAAAAACCGACATGCGGTTCAGGTGCCATCTGGGCGTATCGGTTTTGGGGTTTTACCGATTTTCCACGCTGTTTAGGGGTTCGTGGTCATGAAACTTCTGGACAACACTTCTAATGGTAGACTCTAAGAGGGTGTCAAATTTGGTTGAAATGCGATCATTCCTTCTGTAAGCAGAATTTTTTCGATTATCGATTTTTTCGATTATCGATTTTTTCGGTTATCGATTTTTTTGGAACCTGATTCCGAACTCAAAAATCGGGCTCCGTCATGTCCTTACGGCAACCATTTGCAAACTTGTGTTGAAAACCGCATCGAAATCGGGTGAGAAATGCGGCCTGGGCGACGTAACAACGCCCACGACAGACACACAGACAGACAACATGAGAAATATAGATAGTAGATAGATAGATAGATAGATAAAGCATAATATATTTTTTTAAAAATCCACATAACAACAAAAACTTTTCCGGTTTCTCTCTTCTTTTTAATATATGCACTTTTCTTTTTATATTGTATATATATATATATATATATATTTTATATATATATATATATATATATATATATATGCGATGATGATGTGAATTTGTCAAAATTACATCAATCCAACTAAGTATGTTGGATCTATTGCTGTTAGTGAGCGCTTTCCAATAAGTACCGCGCATATATAATATATAAATAATATATATATAAATAAATTGCAATATATATATATATATATATATATACATTTTACTAACACACACACACACACACACACACACACACGCACACACACACACACACACACACACACACACAGGTCAGGCAAAAGTTGCCCAATATATATGTCCTGTTTAGTGACTACAGAGGTCACCAGACCTCGTGTGCTTGGATTTTTTTTCCTTTGGAGCCATTTGAAATCAGTTGTTTATCAGATGAAATATCGAGGAACTTACATAAATAATTCAATGAATAAAGACAAAAAGAAAACTTATCTTAGTCGACGCGTTTCGTTTTCAGATGGCGTTTTTCAAAAGGCTTCGGCTAAGTTTTCTTTTTTTTCTTTATTCATATTGACTTTTTACAGATATACTCGATCTGAAATTTTTGCACAAAAAATTAAATAGGAATGCAGTAAATTGATAGAGGAATTATATAGGCATAGAATTGAAAAGTATCCTGAAAAAAAGGAGGACATTTTGAACAACAATATAATAAAAAAAAGAAAAAAAAAAACAAATTAGTAAATAATATTTCCCCATCTAATTAAACTTTTAATAAATTATCCCGATGGTGTGTGTGATTTTTGCCTCGCTTTTTATGTGCGTATGGCTATAATCTCCTTGCGGTGTAACCGAAAGGAAACTGTTTATAAATGCCTTGGATGATATTATGCGAAACGATTTGCTTCTAAACGAGAGGAGACAACTGTCATTTACACGCCGGCGCGCACACAGCGAAATACATTGGACGTTTTCGCTAACTCACTTGTGAAA